TTTTCTTGCAAATTTTTCTGCTAGTTAGAGTTTAGTCCACTTCTATATCGTTCCCTTTACGGCTTAGGGGTCCAGGATTATCTTCTGTATCTGTGTTAATTGATTCCCCTTTTCTTTGTTGAAGAGCGTCTGTGCAGTCTTTCTGCCTATTCTGCCATCTTACTGGAACTCCCGTGTTTAATTACTTGGGAGACTGTTTGGTTCGTACCCAGTGAGATGTGGTTTCAGATGGGCATGTTGGCTGCTTCTCTAACTTTTGCTTGTGGTGATTGGTTGTTGTTGTTGGAATGGTCCCTTCTGACAACATGACCAAAGTAGGTGAGAGCTGTGTGTTTGCACACCATGGTAGGTGTCACAGAAATCATTTAAAATAAGTTCCTGTTTCTTTTTGGGGGCGGGGTATTCATTTTTATCTTGATAATAGCCGTTGCATCTAATTTTTAAATATCAGTTTGTTTTAACTTATGGGTTTAGTTGTAGACTGAGCACTGGTAGATACTGACTCAGCGGACAGTTCCTTCGTCTCAGTGCCCATGCTGGTCAGACCCCGGGCCTCAGGATTGTGACGCAGCAGATATCTCTGCATGTTAGCAGATATGACGTATTCCTGATGGGTGCAAGTAGAGAAAGGGATTTGTACCCCAGCTTTTCCTTGTAGGGTTCACATCCCAGTGATGGAGTAGAGTATGTAGCCTCATACCAAGTGAGAGGATCCCATCCACGGATTCCTGCACAGGGGAGCTCTAGGAGAAAATGTCAGTTTTGTCCTCCCTGGTTCCTGGTTAACCTCCCAGCTCATAGTTAACCGTCATCAAAATCATCTTTGCTGACCCCCTGGTGACGGCTGGTCTCAAGGTGTGGACCCAAGACCTCCTCAGGCAGGTGGACTGTCAGGACAGTTATGGGTGAAGTAGCGGAAGCTGTCAGCCTGCTCTGCTCACCGAATTTAGCGGTGGGCCAGTCTACTGGGACTCTCAGAAAGTTTAGCGGTGGGGCAATCTACTGGGACTCTCAGATAGTGTTCCTTTCTTTCTGGCTTTATCTGAATAACTACTTCAGAATATAACTAAATTTTTTTAAACTGTCACAGGGATTCATGAAGATTACCAGTTGCCTTACTACGATCTTGTACCTTCTGATCCGTCAGTTGAGGAAATGAGAAAAGTTGTTTGTGAGCAGAAGCTACGGCCCAATATCCCAAACAGATGGCAGAGCTGTGAGGTGAGCACTTCTGGCTATTACACAGCTTTCTAAAAGGCTTCTGCTTGGTGAGGGGGAAACTTAGTGACTTTTCTTTAAGGAAAACAGCCACAAGAATTCCTTTATGTCCTTTCTCTGGCAGTGAAGCCAGTGAATAACAACAGAATAACCTGGTTTTCATGTTGACCAGTTTTAAGCAGAAAGGGCCATGGATCATGGTTGTCAGTATATCAAAGCAGGGTTTAGATCTGCCACAGGAACCATGGCACCTACTGTTGAAATGAATGCCCCTCCCAGCCAGGGCCACCCAGGATAGTGGGCCGAGCCCCAGGCAGGGATTAAGAGATGTGAATTCTAGACCAGCCTGGCTGCCGTTTAGTCTCCTGTTCTTGGCAGATCACTTCCATTCTCTGGGGCCTTACCATCCCTCTTTGTGAAATGAGGGAATTTGATGACAGTGAAGTTGGTTCAGATGATTTTTCATCTCATTGATTTGATGGGCCATCAGATGGCCACCACTTACCAGGAATTTGTGGAAAATACTTCCCAGAAGTGTCCAGGCTGCTCTGTTAACCATACCTCTGACGAAAGGTTTTAGAAATGTTTACTTAGTTCTAGATTTAAACAATTCATTTGACAACCTTTAACTTGTTTTTAATTGCTACCTGTTGCCGTCATAATATTGGCGAGATGGGGCCTTTCCTTACAGCCCTGAAGTTTTGTAGCTTAGGGGGAATGGAGAACTGATGGCTTCAGTAGTTGACTCAGTGGAACTTCTCAGAGAGCTCCTGGCGACTTCAGACAAAGTCGAATATCCAGGCCTAGATAAGATACATACCACCATGCCGAAAGAATGTGCATATGACTTAGTTTAACAAATGGAAATGGGACCAGATTTTGTCTTTTAAAAGTTTGATTTGGATCCTGTCAAGTACAGACTGGGAGTATTCGTGTACTCTTTCAGTAATTAGAGCAGATTGCTATTAAACAATGGCTTTTAACAGTGCACGCTAAGAGCACACGTGCAAGTTGCTGTCTTTTGCTGAATCAATGTCATCATCACCTTTGTTCATTCCTCAGTTTGCTTAGTTTTCTCTGTATTTATCACTAATTCAGTCTTTCACTACTCTGTGGTTCTATAAATCTGTCAGTAGTTGAAACACATCAAGAATATGAAAGTGCTAGAACACCTAGAGAAGTCTCTGCTGGAACCTTCTGACCTTCCCATTCTGGGCTCGTTGCTCTGTGGGCCCACTGTACCGTTATCATTTGGGGACATCTCTCCCTTTTCATCCTGAGATGCCCTTTGCCTCTCTTTTGTGTTGAATCCCCTTTTCTGAATTCTTTGACTTCCTTGTTTACCCGTTTGCTAACTTTGAGGTGCTCTGGTGGTTAAAGCTTTAGGCTCCTATCCAAAGGGTCAGTGGTTCAAACCTGCCAGCTGTTTTGTGAGAGAAAGATGAGGGATTCTGCTTCTATAAAGATTCCCAGCCTTGGAGACCCTATGAGACATTACTGCTCACCCTGTAGGTTTACTATGAGTTGGAGTTGACTTGATGGTGATGGGTTGGTCAGTTTTCTCAGCTGTCTGCTCGACTGTGACCTTGTCAGTCAGTCATTCCCTTTCTGCCTCTTTGAAACAGCACTGTCCTTCCCGGCACACTTCTCTTCCTCTGTGGCCTTTACAGCTACCTGACAATCCATGCAGCTTACTTGTTTATTACATGACCTACCCCAAGAGACGCAGGGGCTTTTGTCTGTTTTGTTCACTCTTACATCCCCAGCACCTGGGTTAGAACAGAATCTGGGACATAGCAGGTACTTGCTGTGTGAGTGTGTTTGCTGGGCACTGGGTCCTTTTCATCTGGAAACAAACTTGCATTTCTGGTAAACGTTTCTGAAATTTCTTCTTTCATTTCTGAAACGCTTCTTTCATTTCTGCCCCACCACTTCTTTGTTCTCCTTGTTTAACTCCAGGTGTTTGAATGCTAGAGCTCCTTTATGGGCCCTCTCATTTCTCATCTTTTCTCTCCTATTTTTTATGTCTTCGTCTTTTTTCTCAGCTATCTGGGAGGTTCCAGCTGTATCTTCGTTTTCCTGTCTGAGCGGTCAGTGTTCGCTTCTAGGAGTGTTCTCTCGCACTCTGAATGCTTCTTGTTTGTAGCCTCCTGTTTGTTGCTGGACCTCTGGTAGGAAAAAAGACACCAAGGGAAAAATCAACTTTGAGAAAAGAAAATGGGAAAATGTAGAGTCGCCAGTGTCAGTGTCTATCCTCTCTGTGAAGGTGATAACCACACCAAGAAACCGTACTCACTGCTGTCAAGCCGATTCTGACTCCTAGCAACCCCTCATTGGATTTCCAAGGCTGCAGATCTTCATGGAAGCAGACTGCCTCATGTTTCTTCTGTGGAATGACTGGTGGGTTTGAACTGCTAACCTTCTGGTTAGCAGCCAAATGCCTTAACCACTGCACAATCAGAGCTCCTTTTGAGGATATTAGTGATAGATTTTTCACATTTTCTTTTCTCCATAAGCTTCTATTTTCTCTAAATTGCTTTGTCTTGTTCATTTCAGTTCCTACCGTTCTTACCGCTTTCTTCAAATGTCTCACAGTCTCACTCTTTTCATGCTGAGAAAGGGGGCAATGAGAGCTGAAAGGAAGCTATGTGAATGCAGCTTATCAACCAGTCTTCAGGGTGATCTCACTAGGCAGCTTCCTTGAGGATCCACTGATGTCAGTCTCTTTAGGTCTTTGCTCTTGGGCTGTCAAATTCCCCAGAGAAGCCACTTCCAATCGTGTGCCTCCAGGAGGACGTCCAGCTTGCTGCCTTGTGTTTGGAGACAAAACATTTAGAATGCTTTTAGCACAGACCTTTTGCCCTCATGTTCCCTAGGCCAGACATCTCTGTTTCACCCTCTCTGAGAGAGAAAAACCCTTTCTCTTCTGCTGGGGGGGGTGTGGAGAGCTGTGTGCAGTTGAGGGCAGGTGTCTAGGATTGCAGGTGCTTCGTAAGCATGCTTTGAGCTGGTCTTTCTGTCTTTACTCTGCACGTCTACCCACCCAGAGGTACTCGATGGAGCTCATCACTCGCTTTGCGGGAAGATGCAGACTCCTTTTGGCCTTGCTCAGGGCTGGTTTAGGGTGGACCGTTTTCAGGTTGCTAAATGAGTTTTCTTTTGGCCATCTGCTTTCCAGCTGCTGACACCAGTGCTCTGTCGATAGAATCAGGGCTGTTTCTACTCATTCGCTGTTACCGATAATGCTGAAACAAAACCCTGTACACACCGCCTTTACAACAGAAAAGGTGCAGGGAAGAGTCAGATCCTGAGCAGTGGGAAGTGGTTGTTGTTGTTGTTGTTGTTATGTGCCGTCAAGTCGGCCCCGACTCATAGCGACCCCTCCTTGGGTTTCCGAGGCAGTATCACTACGGAAGTAGGATTGCCCAACCTTCCTTCCGAGGAGTGGCTGGTGGGTTTGAACCGCCAGCCTTCTGGTTAGCAGTCAAGTGCTTTAGCCACTATGCTACCAGAGCTCCTTGTTAATTGTTCCCTTCTACTTTCTTATAGGCCCTGAGAGTGATGGCTAAGATCATGAGAGAATGCTGGTACGCCAATGGTGCAGCCCGACTCACAGCTTTGCGGATCAAGAAGACGTTATCACAGCTCAGTCAGCAGGAAGGCATCAAAATGTGAGCTGCACCTTTGCCTGAACTCGACTTTGTCTTCAGATGCACTCCTGGGTTTTCATTTGGGAGGTCAGTCATTCTACCTCACCGAGAGGGAACAGAAGGGTGTTCGCCCCCTTTTGCAGTAGTAATAAGGTCAGTTGGGAACCCCCAGGATTTCTTTGGATCCAGGAAGCAGCCCTGTGGGTCCTTTCTGTGCACTACGGACGCTTCTTTCCCGGACAGTTACAAAATGTTGTGTAGTCTACCTTTATTTTTTATTAACATGAAACTTGTTTTTTTTAAAAGATGATTGCTGGTCTTAACTTCCGTAACTCTGCCATGCTGAAGATCGTTTGCCATGGTAGAGGAGCTGGATTGCTGAGTTACAGGAACCAGTTCTTATTTTGAAAGAAAGCGATTGGCTCCTGGTTAGTACATTCTCAGAGGATGCTGAACCACTAGTTTCTTTGAATCAGACTTTGAATGTACTCTTCTAATTTTCAGGATCTTAAAATGAACACATAAAACTCTTGAGTCTAAACATGACCTCCTATAGTTGTGAGGAACATGATTTATGCAGTCCCACTTGGTGTACTGCTACTGTTCTTTCACACATGCAGCACATGACATGCCTTCAGAATGGGACTGTATTACACCAGTAAGTGCCACTTCAGTGTCTTTCAGTCGAGTTGCGTAGCATCCGTGTGTTTTAAAACCTGTAATGTTTGAACTCAGAAGCTTATTTAGCTGGATAATCCACACTCTGTTTTGTTTTTGGAAGGGTTTTTAATGTGTCATTTGGTCCATTTTAAAATGCCTTTCTCCTACCAAAATGTGCTGAAACCCTTAGGGAAACGAAGTGGCAGGCTTTAGTAAATCGTTACTCTGCTCATGTTTGAGTATTTTCACACCAGGCTTTTCCATTTTAATTGTGCTTTCTTAAGAATACTTTTAAAAAATCAAATGGCACTCTCTAGATGCTTACAGTACTTAATCATTTAAAACTGAGCTCATACAGACTAGTTTTTCTAAAAGGGAAAGTTTGTCTAGCTACTTGTGAAGCCATTTTGTTCTTTATCTGATTAGACAGTGTTATTTTTTTAAGCAGTGAATTACATTTAGAATTAGAATATGGTTACTGTTAAATTGTAGGCCTCTCTCTAGGAGGTACAAGGCATTAATAATTTGACAGGATACAGATGTGCAGGAGTCGGTTGGTTGGTTCGTTCGTAGGAGTAACTTGGTGGATTCTCAGTCTTTGTCAGTAAGCTTAGAGGGAGTATGGTGGGGACTGTCATTGCACTTTGGGAAAGGCAGCCTGGGGTTCCAGCTTTCCTTCTGAAGTGCACATAGAGCAACTGCTTAATTTGCAGAGTTACCTAATAAAGCCAGTGTACCCTCGATATTTGGGAGTGGTGGTAGCTAAGGAGTATTTTGGGTTTAGGTTCCCCATTTACAGATGTTTGTGGTTGAGTGTTTAAAGCAAACTCGTCATGGTCTTCTCACATTAAGTTGAACCCAGCTTGTAATAACTGGTTTTTACTTGCAGTGCTATAAAGTCCTTGGAGGGTTTTCACAATTTTCAAAGTCCCTTTTATCACTGTGATCTAGTTCTGGGGGAAAATAAAACTATCCCAGCTGTGAGGCAAGACTTTGATTTTGTAGTGCTATCAGTTTCCTGATAAAAAGGTCAGAATAACCTTCACAGTATTTTGGTCAGTCAGAGATAGTGGCCATTAACGGGGAGTTGCATTTTGAATAATGTCTATCTCTTACACATACTAAGAATAAGTTTGAAAGACTTATTTGGTCTTAAAACCAAAGTAATGTTAGAATAAATGACATTACATAGGAATTTAATGTCAGTGTCCTATGTTAAAAGAACATCCTGGGGAAATGAGCTTAGAGGTTATTTAATACTAAGACTACGCAGCTGAGTCTTTTCTGTAGTTACCATGATTTCACTGAAGCAAATGACCGAGTCTGAGAGATTTGTGTTCATAGTTGTGTTATATGACCTGTGTCTAAGCTCTGTGATCAGGGACTTTTTTGGGGGGTGGGGGACATTTCTAAGCCTATCAGACCTGCTTTATGAAATCCAGGGGACCAATGCATTTTATCACTGAAACTATTTTTATATCATTTTAAGAACATACCAAAAGTTATCATCTGATTTAAAATTGGGGTACACCATTTGTCACTTTCAGGGTAAGGTAATTAACTTTTGCTGAAGACTCTCTTTACTAAATCAGAGATTGAGTTATACCTATACTGCTCTGGTCTAGGTGGATAAAATGTACTTTTGATGAATCAGGGAATTTTTTAAAAGTTGGAATTTAGTTCTAAATTGGGTTTACATATTACTGCAGCTAATTCCTTGTTTGGCTGGCAATAAACCCCAGTTGGCTAATATTGAAAATGAAAGTGACTTACAGGAGATAGGTCATGATTACAGTGGCCATAACTGCAGATAAATTTGACTTGTGTGTTAAGTTTGTAATTTAGAAACACAAGCCTTAGCTTTACTGCCTATTCTAAGACTTTACCCTCTAAGATTCAACTTGGCTATAAAGCATGTCTTCTGGCAAATTGCTTGTTCACTGCCATCAGTCCCTGGGGGTGGGGTGACAGAGTGGGGCCTGGACATCCCTGATTCTTTTTTTATATACAGCTCTCTCTTTCCCAGCCTGCCCTCCTGCCAACCCCTGATTCAGAGTGTGTTGCCTTGCCACCCTCCCATCCAATCCCAGTGCCTCTCCCCAACCCTCTGAGCCCCCACAGTGTTTGGATTGAAGAGCTGCTTTTGAGACCCCGGATAAGGAAATTGTGGGGCACAATTCCAATTCCTAGATCCTGTCAGGAGGGGTCTCCAGGTTTGACATGGATGAGGCTTTGGGTGCCCCTGCTGGCGGCCCTGCTTTGACTCTAGCCCTGGATGAGGAGTGGGTGGCAGCTGTGGAGTGGAGGTGGTGTCAGAGCAGTGGCTGGTTGTGGCCCCTGGAGAGCTGAGCCTGGGACTCCACGGCGGTGACCGTGCTCAGGAAGTGCCTTGAGTCAGTGTGCGGTGCCGTGGCCACGAAGGAATGCAGATTCCAGTTCTTAACATAACGTCCAAGTGGGCCACCTGGCCACTTTGCAGCCGACACGTGGATTACCTTTGTTTTCTCTCTGTCTGAGGGCTGTCAGATGTCAACGTTTTTGTAGAACATGGCAGCAAAGTGCTAGTAAAAATGCACTACAAAACCTGCATCCCGGCACACACGTCACATCAAGAGTTTATTTTCATTTCTGCTCTGAGAGAGTGGTTGTAGGTCACTGTGTGTTTTGTTTCTTGACCACGGCACAGGGTGGAGATTCCAGACAGTGTGCTATGACGTGGCAGAAAAGGCCCATCAGGTATCTTGAGATCTTACAGGAGAGCTCTAATCATGTACCAAAACTTCTTGTGTCAGCTTGGGAGTGCTGGAAGACCCATGGGCACTCTCTAGGCTGGACTCGTAGGACCACCTGGGGATTGTCAGGACACTGAGCTTTTTAGTCCCGTTACGCAATCTCATTTGTAATTGTCGACTCTTAAAAAAGTGGTTAGTAACATTCAGCCTGTTTCTCAAAACCTAAAAAGAACTTGAGTGAGTTTGTTTTTATTTTTTAACTTGATTTGTGAATCGAATATCACGAACTGTGTTTTGAGATCCCCTCTTCACATTTATGCCAACGGTGTGGTCAGAGGTGTTTGAGATTCTTCATATGTCAAGGAGATGCTTCAAAATGTCAATTGCTTTAAACTTCAATTACCTCTCAAGAGACCAACGTACATTTACCTCATTGTGTATATAATCTTTAATATTTGTCAGCATTCTCCAGGGTTGCCGTTTTATTTCTATAAAATATGGGTGTTACGTTGCTAAATTACTCAAATGGTACTGTGTTGTTATATTTGTACCCCAAATAACATCATCTTTACTTTCTGTTTTCTGTATTTTATTGTATTTGTGCAAAATTCTTTTGGCTTTATTAATGTATTGTCTGCCCTTTCAGATCTGTACAGAAAATGTCCATATAAATTTTCATTTAAGTTGAAAGATTTTGAGAAACCTGTAAAGAGGAGAGAAAAACAAACTGCATTTCTCCCTCCGTTTTTTAAATTATATATTGTATTTGTAGTAATACTCTGAATGAGCTGTAAATAGAAGTAGACAAGTGACGCTTCTGTTCGGTCCTAACACTACAGTAGAAACATGGAAGCAATGCAAATAAATTACTGTTTTCCCAGTGTGCTGGTGGCGTCATTGAACATGAAGTGTGTTTCCTGCAGAGAGCCATGCACTGTGAGCTGCAGCTACTGTGGATGGAGATGGGGGTCTTTGGTTAGAAGCCTGCTCAGTGGTCATGCTTGAGAAGGGCCTACCCGTCAGAGGTGCATGTGCGTGTGCGTGTGTGGTAACAGCCATGGACTCAGGGCTGTCATTCTGTCAGACAACAGGATGGCCCTGTGGACTCCGTTGCTTTAGGCTCAGCAAATTTGCTAAGTTGTATTATTTTGGGTCTTTGACTCTTAAAGTTTTTCAATGACTTTAAATAAAAAATGTTTTCATATTCATTCTTAATTTAAGAATGGGAATAATTTGTAGAAATGAGCTTTTTTTGTGTTTTCTAAGTAGATTTGAACAGTTAGTCTCCGGGGGTGAGACCTGGGGAGAAGAAATGCTGAAGGGGATGGAGGTGGGGTCCCAAAACACTGGACTGACCCTGGCAGGGGTTTGCAGGTGCGATTACTCTCACTTTTAACGATGAATAGCTTCAATTTCAAGACTGGACTTAGGCACCTTTTTCCCTTCTTCATAATAGAGAAGACACATCACCAGGGTGTGCAGCGTTTGCTAGAAGTTGGGGAAAAGGGAGATCATTTTTAAAACATGGTAAGTTCGGAGAAGCAGCAGAACTAGCTTTTTCTTACATGTCTCTTCTGCCTTTGGTGTTTTCCTAACTGGGAGAGAAGCTTTTCTTATGTATACAGCCTGATGG